GCCCCTCTCCCTCGGCCCCAGGGCCAGCCGCTCGCGAAAAACCCTGCCAAGAAAACTGCAGGGGCTCGTCCAGGCGGTGGCCGGGAGTCCAAAACTGGCTCGAAAGCATCCCCCCCCCAAAACCCTCAACGATGGGTTTTAAATTGCAGCTTTGTAAGAAATTGATACTTGTATTTTTTTAAGTAGCCCTCTGAGAAGGTGGCCTAGGGTTCATATCCCTGCAATTTAAAATCAATACCTTCGAGAATAGGATTCTTTTCCCTTTTCCTACGAGATTCTGTAACATGCTGAAGGGTTCATCCTGCCGGCCGACCACTAAGAATTCCAGGCTGGCGCTTATCTGCTCTTCAGGGCGGGCTTGTTTCCAGGGCCTAACCCAGAAGCCCCCGGCCTTCTCCATAATGGTCCCCAGGTAGTCAGTGGCTCTGCAGATGTCAAAAATGTTCTGCTTTCTAGGTGGCCTGTGCTTTAGTTCGCTGTACTTGTTTGCTGAGTGTTGTATTTTGAAAAGTAATTAGGGCATTGGGTTAGTTTAAGGAAAGCTGGTCTGATACTTTGAAAAAGTAAGCTATGACTAACAGCCTTGCAGACACAGCAGTCGGGAAAGGCCTCGCTTTTCATCATCTGGCTGTCCGGGGAGGCGTGAAATTTGGGGGGTGACTCCTTCTAACGTCAAAGGCGTATTCTTAATTGCTACACTTGCTAATCCCTAATCACAGTTTTCATTGCGTTCCACGGACTGCTGGGTTCAGGTTCTGCTTGATTATTAACTTGGAAGTATGCCAACCGGGTCGGCATGAGAAGACTCCCCTTGTGCGCCGGCATATTCCGCTGTCTGCCCTGCAGCTATTAAGGACCAGAATTCTTAATGGAAACATTTGCTTTAATTTTGTTTTGTCTTGCTCCAAGGTTCTCAGATATATCTTCACGAACTGTTGGAAGGCAGCGAAATCTTTCTTCCTGAAGTGACAAAACCACCCAGGGTAGGCCTCAGGCGCTATTAATTTTTTCCTAATGTCCAAGGTGACAGAAAAATCACCAGTTACTGAGTTTCTAGGTAAAATAAGGGAGGAGGACAACATCGGACCCCAAGGCTGCGCGAGTTTCTCTGCAGCTTCTGTGCCTTCAGACTACAGCTAACAAAGCCTGCCAGTAGAGTTTCCCCTGCTAACCTGAAACAGACTAAGCATAGTTTAAAACAAACCCTCATAACTGCCTCCAGAACCAAGGGGGCAAAAAGAAAGAAAGCGCAGCCCACCCTCTTTTTCTTTACCCCCCAAACATGCAATCCAGCTCCTCCGTGCCATCGCCAGGCACGTCACTTTTCACCATAGGTTGGAAGGGATAGAGGGTTCCTGACAAATGACTCTGAAGCCTCCAGTGAAGGAGACTCACCGCATCACGTGGTAGCCTGTTCCACTGGCTGACAACTCCAGTCTGACAATTCCTCCTGATGTCTTGGCTGAACCTTTTCCTTGCAGTTTTTCCCCCTGGTTCTTGTCCTGCCCTCTGGAGCAACAGGGAATGAGACCACTCCCTCTTCTGTGTGACAGCCCCTCTGATATTTGAGCATTGTTATCGTGTCTCCCCTCGGTCTTCCCTTCTGCAGGCTAAATTTACCCAGATCGTTTAATTGTTCCTCAAAGGGCTTGGTTTCCAGACCCCTCACCATCTTGATAGCGTTCCTCCTCCTCTGAACTTGCTCCCATTTGTTACTGCCCTTTTTGAACTGGGGTACCCAGAACTGGACCGAGGACTCCAAGTGGGGTCCGACCAGGGCAGAATAGAGTGGAACAATTTTCGTTAAACGTGTCTTTGTTCCAGTAATCAGTTTGTGTTTGTCTTTCTGTTTCAGAACCCAGAATTAGTGGCCAGGCTGGAGAAGATCAAAGCTAGGCTGGCAAATGAAGAATACAAGCAGATGACAAAGAACATCAACTGCCAGGTCAGGGTGACTTGCAGAGCTAAAGTGATTCCCATAATTGGTCCAGAGCACCAGTGTTATCTCCCTAAGCTCTCTGCAGACACTGAGGTCATCTGTGTTTGCCTTTGGGAAACACAAGGCGGCCCCTTTGACAAGGGCTGCAGAACAAAGAGTACGTATTTGGAATGCAGCCCAGCGTAGAGGAGAAGAACGCCCACGGGAGCCATAATCAAGCAACGCAGCCTGGACCAGTCTCCAGTCTCCTGTGAGGGCTGGGGAAATTGGCCCCAGAGAGGCTCCTCCATTCAACACGGTATTGGCCTTGGCCATCAGAACTGATTCCGCGTGAGGGAGCTTCCGTTGTTGCAGAGCCTCCGCTTTTCATGCAGGAAGGCCCATTCAGTCCCTGGAATTTCCCTGTGCTGATGCTCCAGAGTGTGACCTGTGATCTGCATCAACCAGAGATAGGGAATAGAGTGCCCACAATGTCTGGACCAGCAGATCCCACACACCTGACCACTGAGTGTGCGGGCCAGGGCATCTGGGGAAGAATTGCTCCTTGCGTGGGCTCTTGGATAGATCCGCCGCCTCATTCAGGATAAGGCAGAGCCCTGGGTTCTTGGCTAGCTGGAGTGAGGGCAGCGGGCTGAGAAGTGACAGCGCTGTTCTCCTTTTTCCTTCAAGGAGCTGAACCGCCATGGCACTCTGTCTGATCTTGGAAGGCAAGGTGAGTCCCCGTTTGGAAAGCAAGCTGGAGAAGCAGACGGTCGGGTAAGCCATCTGTCTCTTCTCAGCGAAGATGTGCTTTCGCCTCCCCAGGTGCAAATAACATCCTTTGGATGCTATTATAACTAAAGCTCCAGCACGTTTAGGAACCCTTTAGCAACTTTTGGTGGGGGTGATCAGGGAGAGCCCCTGGTGAATTAATACTTGGTGCAGTGCATTTCAGGATCAAGACCCAAAGGATTAATGGGAAGAAAAGGAGGACCACGGGGGTAGACAATATGGTGTGCAGCCTAATCCAGGGGTGGAGCATCTGCGGCTGCCCCAGGTGTTGCTGAACTGCAGGTCCCAGCATCCTTTGCTCTGGGCTGGGCTGCTGGGAGCTGTAGTTCAGCATCCTCTGGAGGGCTCCTTGGGTTTCCCTCTGAAACAGGATAAGGCTCTTTCGGTTCTGAGCTCAGTCACAGGCCTGGCCGCCAAGAGTTTGTCCGTCACAGGTGGAAGTGTGGCTGCAGAGGGACCCCGGTTCTGTTTCCTGGGCTCCTCACTCCGTTTCTCACCTCTCCTTTCCCAGTCAGGTCAGCCAAAGCTTTGATCATCACCATAGTCAACTTCCTTGTCACTGTGGGAGCCACATTTGTCTGTGCCTTTCTGGGCAGCCAGTACGTCTTCACCGAGATGGCAGCGGTGAGTAAGAACAGTGGCTGGCTGGAGGGGATGCTTTGAGCCCCTTTGGGGTGAAGGCAGCTTTTTACAGCCTCAGAGTTGGACGTGCCTGCGGTGGTACAGGAGGGGTGAGCATGAAGCTCTTGCAGTCCTTGTGAGTACACCCCACTCCCCAGCTACAGGACTGTATTTACCCAACTGAGCCGTGGTTTACTCCCTTAACCCAGATGCGGCAGGACGCCTGCTGCTGCCCCGCCAGCTGGTTTGGACAAGGCACGGAGCTAAAATGCAGGTGGCTGGTTTACAGTTCATTGTGAGGGTGGCCCGTGTGCCTTTGCCACCAGCACAGGGGCGCCTCCTGGCAGGTGTGCAAGAGGCAGAACTGATGCCCCTCCGCCCTTTCCTCTTTCTTCCAGCGGGTGCTTTCAGCTGTGATCGCAGCCTCTGTGGTAGGCCTGGCAGAGCTGTACGTGATGGTGCGGACTCTGGAGGGAGAGCTGGGGCAGCCGTAGGCCCAGAGCTGGCTCCAAAGGCCGCTCCTTTGGCTCCTCCCTGCGCTCCTCTTCCTAGACTCAGGGAGATGGGATCAGCATCTGCGACCATCCACAGATCCCCGAGGCGCCACTCAGGAGGGGGAACCCTCTCCCCCAGCAGCTTCCTTTGGGCAGAAAAGCAACTCTGCCTTCACCAGTCCTGCTTCTACGCCAGACGGGCCCGCGTCCTCCGTCTGCAGTGAGATGTCTCCTCCCCAGGGGAGCCCACAGCTGTGTGGGGCTTTTTCCTCTGGTGCTGGAGCTGGTGGACAGAAAAGCAGCTTTCCAGCTTAGCGCTCACATCTGTTGTGGAGGGGAGGGCCATCCGTAAGGGAGCCGCTGCCGCCCGTTGGGCCCTTGGGGACTTCTGTGTAGCGAGAGCCTCGCCTTCTTACCTGGGCAGGGTCTCACCACAACTTCATGCTCCTGCCACCAGAGTCTGGTTTCCTGTGATGACAGCGAATCTTTGTTGTGTGCAATAAAAAGCAGCTCGCAAAAGTGACGTGTCAGCCTCTGCAGGAAAGCTGCTGTTGCCTGAGGGGAAGGGACTCGGGCCCCTTCCAGGCCCTTCCTTGCGATGTTTAGCAACCCTCAGGCAGAGAAGAAAACAAACGGAAAATTCCAAGGGTGAGTTCTGGCGCCCGTCAAACATATTTCCTATTAACCCTCTGGTTACAGCAGGGGGCAGCACCTAGCCATCCTTGGCTGACTCCAGAAAGCTAAGCAGGGTCCGACCCGGTTTGTTCTCCAGTGGGAGGGCATCAGGAGATCCTGAGGTGGGAGGTGAGACTGGCAGCAAGAAGACTGCTAGGACATGCTGTGGGTCAAAAGTGCGTTCTTTCACTGATTAGGGCGTTAGACTTCAAGGAAGGGTGCTCACGCCTTTAGCTTGGTGGGATCTCCCCAGGAGAGCAGACAGGGAGAGCTCACAGCTGTCGCCTGGGAGGAACTCCCAGTTTTCCCTCTAAGCCCGGGAGATGCGCCTGGCTAGCGTGAGTGTTTGGGAGAGGACCGGGGGGAAAAGCAAAGCTGCTCCAAGAGGAACATCCAGAGATGGACAGGCAGGAGTTTCTAGTTGGCGACCTATATGTCACCTTGCCTGAAAACACCTGGGGTATCCTGAGCTTATAGCAGCCCTTGAGGAGAAAATCAAGGGGCTGAAGCAGCGAGTGGGCACTTGTTAAAAATGAGAAAAGGCCGTCAGGAATAAAGGAGGCTTCTCTGCGGCACTGGAACTTGCAAAAAAGGCCTTTGCCAACGCAGCAGGCTTCGAACATTCAGGAAAGACAAAGACCCCGCAGAATGGGAGATGGTGCCACGGGAGGAAAACGGCAGGCGTGTCATTTGTGATCCACCGCTGCCAAGAATCGAAACCTGCGTCAGCTGGACACATTGGCCTGTGAAGTGCGCTGCCTGCCTGAATGAATGTGGCAGGCCAAGTTCCCAGGCTTAGGAAGCCGAGTGACAGTCGCTGCTTCCTGGTGAGACAATGCCGGAAGGAGCAGTTACTGCTCTGTCCTTCCAGTTCAGGAAAGTGGAAAGAGGTCTCTGCAAGTCTGGTAACTGGTTACATACGTGGTATCAATGGGAAAGATTTGTTTCTGGGACTGCGTGTGAGTTACCCAGGTGGGGGACAGCTGGCCCCTTTATAAGGCCACCCCAACCCACATGGTAACCCTGGGTGGCATACCAATTAAGAACAAAAACCCTAAATCGGTTTTTCTGAAAAAGGCCATAGGCAGGGGAGCAGATGCACCCAAAAGACGCAGAACATCATCTAATACAGGTGGCTGTGCACCCACCCCAGCCTAACCCAGAATCTGGAGGAAACGCACTGAAAAGAAAGGGTTGGGCGGTCGGTACTGTCTGTCGCCCTCCTGACCAAGGAGATGCAGATGACGCCTTCCAAAAGCAACTTGTAGCACTTCCAAGGGAGTGAGAAGTTGCGTCACGCCCTGACTGAAGGCTGCTGTGACATCTCCCTTCAGTCTTTCCTTCTGCAGGCTACATGCACCAAGATCCTGTGATCGTTCCTTGCCCAGCTTGGTCTCCAGACCCTCCGCCCTCTTAGTCGCTCTCCTCTGAACTGGTTCCAGTTTGTCCCTGTAGGAAAACTTTCCCTTTAATCCCAATCAGCTAAGTCTTACTGATATGCAACTGCGGTGCTGTTAGAGGAGAAGACAAACGTTAGAAGGCAAGCCTTGCAGACATCACACCACCTTTTCTGGGAGCAAAGCGACTGACTTAGGGCAGCGGTTTTCAAACTTGGCAAGATGCGTGCGGGGAATTGATGCTGGCCAGGGAATTCTGGGAGCTGGTCCACACATCCTAAAGCTGCCAAGTTTGAAAAAAACTGATTTAGGAGAAGAATAAACTTGCTCTTGGTCACACAGAGTTATTTCTAACCTGATTCTTTCTCTGGTCATCGTGCAGTCAGCAAACAGAGCAGCGGCCACTGGTTTGTTGTGTAGCCTGGGCTCTGAATCGCCTGTCGCCTTCCCTGCTTTGGGCGCCTTCTCTGCTATCCAAGGCCTTCTGGCTGATCTTACAGGGTCTGCAGTTTGGCTTCGTCTGGTAACGCTCACTGACTTGGGGGTCCTGCATTGCTGTCTTTTGGAGCTGCAATGCTCAGAATGGCACGCAGGACTCCAGAGCGATTGGCGAATTAACGGGCCAGCAGTGTGATGAGCTACAAAAAAGGGCGGTGCAGTTTTACACTCCATCAGCGGAAGTGTAATTTCAAAATCATAAGTAACCTCCTTGGCTGAGGTCAGACCCCAACTCAAACACTGCCAATTGCTGAGACCATGGTTCAATAAGCATTAAACCATGGGGATGTGGCAGTTGTCATCTGGGAGTCTCTTACGGCTTTCGGGGGCGCTGCCCCACAAGTGGCTGGATGTGAGACCCCATTCCAGAAGTTGGGCTCTAGGGAACAGCTGGGATCGCTGCTCGTGCGCCAGCCTCCGTGCTGCCCACGTACGGCCTCCCTCCCTGAGCTGCTCGACTCGACCTCTGGGCTGGCGGTGGAGTTTCCCAGGCTTATGGTTCTGGGAGACTTCGATCTGCCCTCTCAGAGTGGGGTCGGAGACAGCTCAGTCGCCATGGTCATCCAGGGCCTGACTCGGGACAGGGGTCATACCCCTGACCTGGCGGCTTATCAGAGCAGCGGCAGTGTGATCTGCTACTGGGAGAGCTTTTGGTGGCTCCTCTGTCACGGTCAGATCGTACCCTGATAGCCATGAGATTCAGTGGCATTGCCCCCTGCTGCGGGGAGGCGGGACCTATTAGATCGGTCTGTCCCCGGCGACTAACGGGCCTGGATTCCTGATGATCTGCTGCACAGTCCGGCTGAGTCCTTGGCCGTTGCTGTGTTGGCCACAGGGTGACCAACTGATCGGGGCACGTTTTTACCCAGTGCGAGAAAGGGCCAAATTATGCACAGAGTAGAGGGAAGTCTTCCACACTTTATTTCTGTACAGAAGCAAAGAGGTGCACTTGGGACCAAAATCCAAATCGAGTGCGCAAAGGGGCGTTGTCCAAAGGTTTTTATACATTTCACTAAGCAGGTAACATTCATCACAATTCTTGCTGGCTAAAACAAATACGTGGGTGAATTACATCATGCACATGTGTACTACAACTGTGTACCCCATAATAAGCCATGAGGGGGGCTCATTAGCATCTCATGTTTACTCCTAGGGGTGTGTTTTTTACTATTATAATGAGGCAAAGAGTACTATAGTTCAGCGTTTAACTAGTCCCCTATCTAATCAAAGCAGAACAAGCAGGAGCAACACAGGAAATTCCTAATCCGTCGGGGCCCCACAAACACAGCTCCCAGTACACAAACAGCCCGTCAGGCCCACAGCTGGAATGAAAGGGCAGCCGAGGCTTCAGATCGGATCGTGCCCACGTGACCTCTCCCCTCTCGTGGATCCTGTCGCTCTCTGTGGTTTATGGAAAAGCTTAGGGAGTTGGAACGAGAGAAGAGATGTCTAGAGGGAGAGCTGCTGTTAAGGCCCATCCTGTGGCTTCCACGCTTCTCTGCCCTTATTGCGTCTGCGGATAGCCGCCCGACAGCCTTGTTTAAGGCGACACGAGCCCATCTGGGAAAGCAGGGCTCGGAGGTTTACTTGCAAGACCATTCAGAGGAATCTGCATAACACTTGATGGACAAAATCGCTCAGATTTGTTGCAAGCTGGACTCCAGGGTTAACACAGGTCCAGTAGAGGTGCCCAGAGCACAGTCTTGCCGTTATCTGGGGACAGTTTGATCCTCCTGGACCTGAGGAAGTGGAGAGGGTCCTGGGGACTGTGAGCTCAGCCATCTGCTCCTTAGACCCCTGCCCCTCCTGGCTCATTAAGGCTCCCTGGAGGGTGTCAGTGCCAGATCCAAGTGATGGTGAATTATTCTTTGAGAGAAGGGGTTATCCCATCGCTTCTTAAGCAGGCAGTGGTTCACCCCCTCCTCAAGAAGCTGTCTCTGGATCCAACCATGCTGGACGATTTTTGTCCAGTGTCTAACGTCCTGTGAGGAACATACATTTCCGGGTGAAGAAAGTAAGTTTTTAGAGGCCTCAGACGAATGGGAGCGCCTTAATAAAACTGAAACGGAAAGGAAGGGCCGGCACCCCTGAAGCTGGTGGGAACCAGGCTGGCTGTAAATTCCTTACCTCAGACACCCCAGGACAGCCAGCCGAGGCGAGGCATCTGTCTTGAAGGAGGATGTGCCCTTCCTGGCCTGAGGCCCCCTGAACTGGTCTGTTTCTTCATCTCAGTCAGGCTGTTGTTTTCCTTTAGACAGCAGATAGCAGAGGGGCAGAAAGTAACTTGAGACCTGTTGCTTGCTTATGGACACCTGCATCATCATCTGAATACGCATGTATGCATCCTTTTCCCTTCCCTTTTTCTGAATGCATAAATACCGGGGCACCCCTTTTGCCCGCAGGGGAGCGTCTCCCACTAACCCTTGGTGCGCACTGCCTAATAAACAGTGCAGTGAAGCCTCGATGGTTTCGTTTTTGGGTCCTGCGTTTTGATTCCACGCTCCCTTTTTGGGGGAAGGTTGTGGAAAAAGTGGTTGCACAGCAGCTTCATCGGGCCCTGGGTGAAGCAGATTATCTGGACCCCTTTCGGCCAGGTTTCAAGCCCGGGTATGGGATGGAGATGGTGTGAGGAAAATATATCTTTGGGTGAAAGAAGCAAGTTTTTAGAGGCCTCAGACGAATGGGATCGCCTTGATAAAACTGAAACAGAAAGGAATGTGCGGCACCCTTGAAGCCGGTGTGAACTAGGCCGATT